CACCTTAGTATAGAGGCTGGCTCTGTCGTCCCTAACCTCCCCCAATGCTTTTCCATTTTTTAGGCTCCACTGCTGCAGTTGCAGTGCAAGGATCTGGAGTAGCAGATGTTAGGCTCCGCGGCTGCAGAAGCAGTGCAAGGACCTTATTTCCTTATGTGTAGGCTCCACGGCTGCAGCAGTGCTAAGACTAGTTATCTTCTTTTCTAGGTTCGGCAACTGCAAGCAGTGCAAGGACCATGTATTTTGATGTTAGTCTCTGCAACTGCAAGCTGTGCAAGACCATATGTTTTCATGTTTAGGCTCTACGGCTGCAGCGGCAGTGCAAAGACCTTTTAGCATTCAGTGCCTTCATACTACAAGTACATCAGCAGCAGTATTCCGATTCTCATTGCAGCTATGTAAATAAGAGACTGCCTTTAGACGCAGAGATTGAGTTGTAATTGTAGTAAATTAGTATTTTCCTCTTTGGAGTTTACGTTATATAGAAGAATGGTTGGATTCTTGTTCATATTATACATATGCGACCGATAGTTTAATAGTTCCTCTCCATTTTCTGTTAGTATATAGGCTAGAGCCAGTTTGGTGATAGCAGACCTATTCCCATATGTTTCTTCAACGCTTAGTAGTATTAAAGTCTCTTATCGAGCAATAATAAATTTTCATTATGCCGCTTGCACTATATTTGTAATTATACTAATGATTGACACCCTAATGTGCTATGCTAGTTATTATAAAACTTTCAATTGGGACTTACAAAAACTTTCTTATACCAAGAGTTTCTTATATCTAAGTTTGCATATAAACTTTTTATACAAAATTTTTCACTTTAGTGTTAGTATTTAGGGTTAGGATTAAGGTTTGGGAAGAGTTTTGGGGCGTAGAACAATTTTACTTAGAACACACCGATTAATTTGCCAGTTTTAAGATAATGCATTTATAAGTGTAAAACGCCATGGGTGTGTTTTAGTAAAAGTCATTTATTCTATATATTTGTAATTTATTTATATAACAAGCATTATTATCGATAAGTTTAAATTTTTTTTCAAAGTTATTATTTAAAATTATTTTGGCTTTTGATTCATGTTATTCTAAAATTTACAAATAATAAGAATAATACTCAAAATACATTTAAGGCAGGATGTTGTCAGTGCCATAAGTGGTATAAAACCATAAATTACTATAGATGAAGCATAATAAGCCTATTTAAAATAAAAAATAAAATATAATTAATTATATAAACTTATATTATATATATATATTCAATAAATAAAAAAAATTATTTACGTACCAAAAGAACAATAAGTGGAATGGTTTTAATAACAATATCTACAAATGCTCTAATTAAAGCCAGTTTACGTTTCTTATCATCTTTAATAAATCTTTCGGTCAGGTCATCCAAAATTATCAGGGACTCACTGTCAGCTAATGTAAAAATAAAAAATATTGACTTTCCAGCTTTATTGACATCATGATTGATATTTTTGTTGATATTTTTATTGACATTTTCATTGGCATCTTTATTGGTATTGTTATTAATGTCTTTATTAGCATTATTAGTATTTTCATTGGCGTCTTCATTGGCTTCTTCATTGATATCATCATTGGCATCTTCATTGACATTTTTATTAATATCTTCATTGGCATTGTTATTGGCACCTTTATTGGTATTTTTGTTGATATCTTCATTGGTATCTCCATTGACATTTCCATTGGTCAAAGTCATATAAAGAGCATTCTTTTCTAAGTCATTTAATAAATTTTGATTGGTGTTTTTTGATAACATATTTTTCAATTTAGTAGAAATTTTTGAGATTATTAAATGAGATTTTTTTTGTATTGAGTCAGATATATATTGTGCTATAGTTTGTATCGTATTTATAATTTGTATTGTGTCAAACATCTCATCAAAAGACTCTGTTATCATCTCAGATTGTGTAATATTAAATTGATTTTCCTCGGAAAATTTCTCAGAAAGTTCTTTAACGTTGTCACAAATTTTTGTTTTAAAGCTATTAAAAATCTTGTTAGAAATTTGGTTTAGTATTTTGTGAGGAATATAATCTGAGAGGTTATGAATTTCTTCCTTTATCTTTTTTTGGAAACATATGTATAAAAGTTCATTTAGTAATATTATCTCTATCTCTTCTTGCACCACAGCAAAAATCTGTTTTTTAGAAACACCGGAGCTTTTTAATTGCTTTTTATTACAAATTTTCGTCAAAATATCAACTATCCTTTCATTAATTATGTTTTTTATATTGATTTTAGAAAAATCATCTTGTATCCTTTCATCTTTTACTAGTTCTGAAATTTCCAAAAATATGTTGATGAAAGTCTTTTCAGAAATATCTATTATTTTCGTTATATGTTCATTCAAGATTGCATCAAAGGTATCTATTAATTTTGTTACATGTTTATTCAAGGTTGTTGCATCAAAGTTATCTATTATCTTTATGATTTGATCATTGCCCGCGTTCGATTTATTTGAAGAATAAATAGGCAATTCTTCTCTGAGCCTTTTGAAGAGCTTTTTAAGCCCAAATCCGACAGCTATTAATAAATTTATAACTATTGGAAAACACCAGATAATTTTACTTTGAGACAGTAAAAAAAAAAAAATCAATAAATTAACTTAATAATATTAATAACTAATAACATATTAATTTCAAATAATATATAAAGTACCTTGGCAATATAAGCTCAGGTAGATCTTTAGAATTGATAAAAACAAAGTAAGCTGTAGAAGCTACATTAATAAAAATGAGCGCACAACCTGAGATTATATGAGCTATTTCTCTTGCTTTGGCAGAATCATTTTTCTTAACCCAAATTAAAAAGAGATCTTTGAGTTTTGCATGTACCCATGAAAGGAAGTCTATTATTATTTTCAGTATATTTTTCTTTCCGTTACTCTTAGTTTTGTTTCTAATCTGTTCACCATCTTTGCTCTGTTCATTCTGCTCAGTCTTTATGTATAATATTACGATTACCCCGAGAATCAGAATTAACGCACCAATATATTTTACGTATTCTTCCCACAAATTCCCTGAACATAGAGTTGGTCATAAATTTAAATTCTATAATAATAATAATAATAATAATATTTTAAATTGTGTGCGATTATTCAACTTACTTTGCACAATAAAGCCATAATGATCATCCAAATCATTTGTTAAATTATTGGAAAAAGTTGTGACTTCCTTATATGCAATCATAGTTTTTAAACCTGACACCACATCCTGAGCAGTACTTTCGGTACTTGAATTTCGTGAATTTACACGAATAGAAAAAATAATTTGCACATTAGATGTGCCATAACTAATATACTGATACTTTTCATTTGTACTTAAACGATCACGTCGGACTGGTAATTTAACAGAAATTTCATCTAGTAAATTCTTAAAATATTCAGAACGGTTAGGATATGATAAGAAATATTCTACTCTGTCACTTGTGAGACTGACTGAACCAGTAACAGCAGACATATCTATAAGGATATGAAGTAAGTTTTTAAGTTACATTGAGAATAACAAGTGTATATATTTGATGTGAACATAGTAATACCTGAAGAATTCGACTTATAAGCTAAATTATTTAAATATTAGTAAAATTACATTTTAAATATCAGTAAAGATTATATTAAATAAATAATTAATTAATAAACAATCATCAAATCTTACTTGAATTAAGATTCCAAATTCCACCGGCAATTCCTGTTAGAGGCTCACCATAATATTTACTTTTAACAAAATCATTATCCATCTGCACGTAATATTCACCGTACTGATTAAATGTACTACTAATAATCTTTATAGAAATTGTTTTTCCATCTTGACTGATTTTACAAAATTTATACGTTGTTGGCGAGACTTTTTGTCTAATTCCGTAATCAGATGTTTTGTAGATAGTGATATAACTGTTTGACGAATCATATGACAAAGCAACAGGATTATAAAAGGTAATGCTTAAAGCGGTCGTTAATGGATCGACAGTGGCATTTATGGAAGGAACGGTTTGGTCTATCCAAAAATTACCGTATCCATGATCTAAATAGATAAAAATGATTAATATTATAAATATTAAACATACTGTAATGGCGCAATAAAAACAGATTTTTATATAATAATAAAAACACACCATAACTTTTTAAAACTTTAGGTAACTCAATTTTTGACAAAGACCAAGAAGAATTTTGATTATTTGTATAAGGTGAAGCTAGTATAAAAGTATTATTATTTCTCATAATGTCATATACACCATAGA